CGTGATTTGAACACGCAACCTTCTGATCTGGAGTCAGACGCGCTACCGTTGCGCCACCGAGTCACACGGCCTGGTTCGTTGTAGAAATAGTATACTATGCAAAGTAGTATTAAAAATGGAAATTTTACGCAAGAAAAATATCTTAAAGTGTGAAACATTGTGAGAATAGTCTGTTCAAGGTGTAAGACGTAAAAGCCATAAAAATATTATCTTAATTCGCGAAATGTAAGAAATGTTGGAGGATGAAATAACCAGACAAAACTTGCTTCGTCGTGTAAATGTGGACTAATTTATTAAAACGGTCTCTTAATACTTACAATGGAACAAAAAACAAATACACATGAATGCCAACAAGTTCTACCAATATGAGTATCTAAATTTTAAATTTATTTCCCGGACTGTCTAATTCAAGGAGCGAACTGTAAAAGTCAATATGGAGCCATTTATTTACATGGCTTTCAGGGATATTTTCGGAAAAGGTTTGTTGTAAACTGCCTAATTTCTCAAGTCTAAACTTGTCTCGTCTTGAGTGAGTGAGTGAATGTTTGGTTCTATGGCGCAAGAGCCAAATTTGGCTATACTGCGCAACACGTTACATGTCTCGTCTTATCCATCGTCCCACAAATGATTGTTTCTATTGATGCTCTGCCCACACGTTGAAAACCACATGCAGAAAAGTTTTCTTATGCTCTTACACAGTGACGGACTAAGCAAACGTAGGTCGAAGGGAAAATTCTTAAAAAAAAAATATTAGAAATATGCATTACACTGATGTTGGATTTTTGTCGCGTAATACTTGTTGCATTCTTGCATGGATACTGTCATCTTCAGGGACATACGAAAAGCACATCATTTAATTCTTGATATTTTCTACAACAGTCCTGTGCAAGATTTAAGAATATAACAAAGCAAACCACTTCACATTCGGACGTGGTGGAATCAGACCATTTGCCCATTTAGATTCAAAGGCGGTAATATAGAGCCTAGGCGATGCGAAATATGTCACATTCTGAAAAAATTCGTTCATTACGTTAAGGCAACTGAATAATTACTAAAGTAAAGGGAAAAAATCCGGTTCACCGCGCATCAACTCACACCTGATTAAAAAAGCAATCACCACTACACTGACCCGGACGTGATTCGAACACGCAACCTTCTGATCTGGAGTCAGACGCGCTACCGTTGCGCCACCGAGTCATGTCTGCTTCCGACATTCTGCGATTCCCTGCGATATTCTTAAGAGACATAATTGAAAGGTAATTAAACAATTACCAGTCCTTTTTACCGCCATTGTACCTTTTAAAAGTGCAGGCCAAGTAGAAAATTAGTAAATGAATCGCACCTGTTTTTCACACACTTCCTGTTCTGAAATGTAAGGATTGATATTTTTAGAGGCACTCAATCAACATATTGTTGCTGGAGATGAAACTCTTGAATTTGGTTTTCTGACAAATGACGAGAACGGAACCTAGCCTTAAGTTCTCAATCATTACCATTATTCTCATTTTAGAATTTTGAGCTTAAACAAATTGAATGGGTTTTAATACACCGGATGCAAATTTCTTATTGGAACCCTAATGATACGCACTGTATATTAGATAAACAAAAAAAAAATCGGAATTTTAGAAGATTATTGTTTGATTAATAGTGTAAATCCATACTCTTTCTTAAGACGGAAAAAAACAATCAAAAAATTTGTTTGACCCGGACGTGATTTGAACACGCAACCTTCTGATCTGGAGTCAGACGCGCTACCGTTGCGCCACCGAGTCACACGGCCTGGTTCGTTGTAGAAATAGTATACTATGCAAAGTAGTATTAAAAATGGAAATTTTACGCAAGAAAAATATCTTAAAGTGTGAAACATTGTGAGAATAGTCTGTTCAAGGTGTAAGACGTAAAAGCCATAAAAATATTATCTTAATTCGCGAAATGTAAGAAATGTTGGAGGATGAAATAACCAGACAAAACTTGCTTCGTCGTGTAAATGTGGACTAATTTATTAAAACGGTCCCTTAATACTTACTACAATGGAACAAAAAACAAATACACATGAATGCCAACAAGTTCTACCAATATGAGTATCTAAATTTTAAATTTATTTCCCGGACTGTCTAATTCAAGGAGCGAACTGTAAAAGTCAATATGGAGCCATTTATTTACATGGCTTTCAGGGATATTTTCGGAAAAGGTTTGTTGTAAACTGCCTAATTTCTCAAGTCTAAACTTGTCTCGTCTTGAGTGAGTGAGTGAATGTTTGGTTCTATGGCGCAAGAGCCAAATTTGGCTATACTGCGCAACACGTTACATGTCTCGTCTTATCCATCGTCCCACAAATGATTGTTTCTATTGAAGCTCTGCCCACACGTTGAAAGCAAAAGCAGAAAAGTTTTCTTATGCTCTTACACAGTGACGGACTAAGCAAACGTAGGTCGATGGGGGAATTCTTAAAAAAAAATTAGAAATATGCATTACACTGCTGTTGGATTTTTGTCGCGTAATACTTGTTGCATTCTTGCATGGATACTGTCATCTTCAGGGACATACGAAAAGCACATCATTTAATTCTTGATATTTTCTACAACAGTCCTGTGCAAGATTTAAGAATATAACAAAGCAAACCACTTCACATTCGGACGTGGTGGAATCAGACCATTTGCCCATTTAGATTCAAAGGCGGTAATATAGAGCCTAGGCGATGCGAAATATGTCACATTCTGAAAAATTCGTTCATTACGTTAAGGCAACTGAATAATTACTAAAGTAAAGGGAAAAAATCCGGTTCACCGCGCATCAACTCACACCTGATTAAAAAAGCAATCACCACTACACTGACCCGGACGTGATTCGAACACGCAACCTTCTGATCTGGAGTCAGACGCGCTACCGTTGCGCCACCGAGTCACGATAACGGGTTAATTTCTGAATATTTAATTGACATGATCAGGAATGACATTTAAAATATGTACAGTACTTTGGTATTAAGTAAAATTCGAATATTAAAACTTACGTATATTATCGTCGTGCACTTCATATGTAGAGTGCAAAGTAAGTATACTTGCAAAGGTTTCTGACAGTACTGAAAACTGAGTCATATAGATCTGGATGAGGATGCCCTACATTTTTGTCACTAGTACAAAGCCTTTCTTCTCCTTTTTTGATTTCAATTTTTACATGGAATTCGAGTCCCAGAAACTACAAAATTGCCAAGCGAGGATTGACAAGTTGTTTTCCTAAGCAATGTTTTGCACAAATTCCTTTTCTAAAGCAGAGCAAAAGTAACGTGCACACATTGACCCGGACGTGATTCGAACACGCAACCTTCTGATCTGGAGTCAGACGCGCTACCGTTGCGCCACCGAGTCATGTCTGCTTCCGACATTCTGCGATTCCCTGCGATATTCTTAAGAGACATAATTGAAAGGTAATTAAACAATTACCAGTCCTTTTTACCGCCATTGTACCTTTTAAAAGTGCAGGCCAAGTAGAAAATTAGTAAATGAATCGCACCTGTTTTTCACACACTTCCTGTTCTGAAATGTAAGGATTGATATTTTTAGAAGCACTCAATCAACATATTGTTGCTGGAGATGAAACTCTTGAATTTGGTTTTCTGACAAATGACGAGAACGGAACCTAGCCTTAAGTTCTCAATCATTACCATTATTCTCATTTTAGAATTTTGAGCTTAAACAAATTGAATGGGTTTTAATACACCGGATGCAAATTTCTTATTGGAACCCTAATGATACGCACTGTATATTAGATAAACAAAAAAAAAAATCGGAATTTTAGAAGATTATTGTTTGATTAATAGTGTAAATCCATACTCTTTCTTAAGACGGAAAAAAACAATCAAAAAATTTATTTGACCCGGACGTGATTTGAACACGCAACCTTCTGATCTGGAGTCAGACGCGCTACCGTTGCGCCACCGAGTCACACGGCCTGGTTCGTTGTAGAAATAGTATACTATGCAAAGTAGTATTAAAAATGGAAATTTTACGCAAGAAAAATATCTTAAAGTGTGAAACATTGTGAGAATAGTCTGTTCAAGGTGTAAGACGTAAAAGCCATAAAAATATTATCTTAATTCGCGAAATGTAAGAAATGTTGGAGGATGAAATAACCAGACAAAACTTGCTTCGTCGTGTAAATGTGGACTAATTTATTAAAACGGTCCCTTAATACTTACAATGGAACAAAAAACAAATACACATGAATGCCAACAAGTTCTACCAATATGAGTATCTAAATTTTAAATTTATTTCCCGGACTGTCTAATTCAAGGAGCGAACTGTAAAAGTCAATATGGAGCCATTTATTTACATGGCTTTCAGGGATATTTTCGGAAAAGGTTTGTTGTAAACTGCCTAATTTCTCAAGTCTAAACTTGTCTCGTCTTGAGTGAGTGAGTGAATATTTGGTTCTATGGCGCAAGAGCCAAATTTGGCTATACTGCGCAACACGTTACATGTCTCGTCTTATCCATCGTCCCACAAATGATTGTTTCTATTGAAGCTCTGCCCACACGTTGAAAGCAAAAGCAGAAAAGTTTTCTTATGCTCTTACACAGTGACGGACTAAGCAAACGTAGGTCGATGGGGGAATTCTTAAAAAAAATATTAGAAATATGCATTACACTGCTGTTGGATTTTTGTCGCGTAATACTTGTTGCATTCTTGCATGGATACTGTCATCTTCAGGGACATACGAAAAGCACATCATTTAATTCTTGATATTTTCTACAACAGTCCTGTGCAAGATTTAAGAATATAACAAATCAAACCACTTCACATTCGGACGTGGTGGAATCAGACCATTTGCCCATTTAGATTCAAAGGCGGTAATATAGAGCCTAGGCGATGCGAAATATGTCACATTCTGAAAAAATTCGTTCATTACGTTAAGGCAACTGAATAATTACTAAAGTAAAGGGAAAAAATCCGGTTCACCGCGCATCAACTCAAACCTGATTAAAAAAGCAATCACCACTACACTGACCCGGACGTGATTCGAACACGCAACCTTCTGATCTGGAGTCAGACGCGCCACCGAGTCACGATAACGGGTTAATTTCTGAATATTTAATTGACATGATCAGGAATGACATTTAAAATATGTACAATACTTTGGTATTAAGTAAAATTCGAATATTAAAACTTACGTATATATAACGTCGTGCACTTCATATGTAGAGTGCAAAGTAAGTATACTTGCAAAGGTTTCTGACAGTACTGAAAACTGAGAGTCATATAGATCTGGATGAGGATGCCCTACATTTTTGTCACTAGTACAAAGCCTTTCTTCTCCTTTTTTGATTTCAATTTTTACATGGAATTCGAGTCCCAGAAACTACAAAATTGCCAAGCGAGGATTGACAAGTTGTTTTCCTAAGCAATGTTTTGCACAAATTCCTTTTCTAAAGCAGAGCAAAAGTAACGTGCACACATTGACCCGGACGTGATTCGAACACGCAACCTTCTGATCTGGAGTCAGACGCGCTACCGTTGCGCCACCGAGTCATGTCTGCTTCCGACATTCTGCGATTCCCTGCGATATTCTTAAGAGACATAATTGAAAGGTAATTAAACAATTACCAGTCCTTTTTACCGCCATTGTACCTTTTAAAAGTGCAGGCCAAGTAGAAAATTAGTAAATGAATCGCACCTGTTTTTCACACACTTCCTGTTCTGAAATGTAAGGATTGATATTTTTAGAAGCACTCAATCAACATATTGTTGCTGGAGATGAAACTCTTGAATTTGGTTTTCTGACAAATGACGAGAACGGAACCTAGCCTTAAGTTCTCAATCATTACCATTATTCTCATTTTAGAATTTTGAGCTTAAACAAATTGTATGGGTTTTAATACACCGGATGCAAATTTCTTATTGGAACCCTAATGATACGCACTGTATATTAGATAAACAAAAAAAATCGGAATTTTAGAAGATTATTGTTTGATTAATAGTGTAAATCCATACTCTTTCTTAAGACGGAAAAAAAACAATCAAAAATTTATTTGACCCGGACGTGATTTGAACACGCAACCTTCTGATCTGGAGTCAGACGCGCTACCGTTGCGCCACCGAGTCACACGGCCTGGTTCGTTGTAGAAATAGTATACTATGCAAAGTAGTATTAAAAATGGAAATTTTACGCAAGAAAAAATATCTTAAAGTGTGAAACATTGTGAGAATAGTCTGTTCAAGGTGTAAGACGTAAAAGCCATAAAAATATTATCTTAATTCGCGAAATGTAAGAAATGTTGGAGGATGAAATAACCAGACAAAACTTGCTTCGTCGTGTAAATGTGGACTAATTTATTAAAACGGTCCCTTAATACTTACAATGGAACAAAAAACAAATACACATGAATGCCAACAAGTTCTACCAATATGAGTATCTAAATTTTAAATTTATTTCCCGGACTGTCTAATTCAAGGAGCGAACTGTAAAAGTCAATATGGAGCCATTTATTTACATGGCTTTCAGGGATATTTTCGGAAAAGGTTTGTTGTAAACTGCCTAATTTCTCAAGTCTAAACTTGTCTCGTCTTGAGTGAGTGAGTGAATATTTGGTTCTATGGCGCAAGAGCCAAATTTGGCTATACTGCGCAACACGTTACATGTCTCGTCTTATCCATCGTCCCACAAATGATTGTTTCTATTGAAGCTCTGCCCACACGTTGAAAGCAAAAGCAGAAAAGTTTTCTTATGCTCTTACACAGTGACGGACTAAGCAAACGTAGGTCGATGGGGGAATTCTTAAAAAAAATATTAGAAATATGCATTACACTGCTGTTGGATTTTTGTCGCGTAATACTTGTTGCATTCTTGCATGGATACTGTCATCTTCAGGGACATACGAAAAGCACATCATTTAATTCTTGATATTTTCTACAACAGTCCTGTGCAAGATTTAAGAATATAACAAATCAAACCACTTCACATTCGGACGTGGTGGAATCAGACCATTTGCCCATTTAGATTCAAAGGCGGTAATATAGAGCCTAGGCGATGCGAAATATGTCACATTCTGAAAAAATTCGTTCATTACGTTAAGGCAACTGAATAATTACTAAAGTAAAGGGAAAAAATCCGGTTCACCGCGCATCAACTCAAACCTGATTAAAAAAGCAATCACCACTACACTGACCCGGACGTGATTCGAACACGCAACCTTCTGATCTGGAGTCAGACGCGCTACCGTTGCGCCACCGAGTCACGATAACAGGTTAATTTCTGAATATTTAATTGACATGATCAGGAATGACATTTAAAATATGTACAGTACTTTGGTATTAAGTAAAATTCGAATATTAAAACTTACGTATATATAACGTCGTGCACTTCATATGTAGAGTGCAAAGTAAGTATACTTGCAAAGGTTTCTGACAGTACTGAAAACTGAGAGTCATATAGATCTGGATGAGGATGCCCTACATTTTTGTCACTAGTACAAAGCCTTTCTTCTCCTTTTTTGATTTCAATTGTTACATGGAATTCGAGTCCCAGAATCTACAAAATTGCCAAGCGAGGATTGACAAGTTGTTTTCCTAAGCAATGTTTTGCACAAATTCCTTTTCTGAAGCAGAGCAAAAGTAACGTGCACACATTGACCCGGACGTGATTCGAACACGCAACCTTCTGATCTGGAGTCAGACGCGCTACCGTTGCGCCACCGAGTCATGTCTGCTTCCGACATTCTGCGATTCCCTGCGATATTCTTAAGAGACATAATTGAAAGGTAATTAAACAATTACCAGTCCTTTTTACCGCCATTGTACCTTTTAAAAGTGCAGGCCAAGTAGAAAATTAGTAAATGAATCGCACCTGTTTTTCACACACTTCCTGTTCTGAAATGTAAGGATTGATATTTTTAGAGGCACTCAATCAACATATTGTTGCTGGAGATGAAACTCTTGAATTTGGTTTTCTGACAAATGACGAGAACGGAACCTAGCCTTAAGTTCTCAATCATTACCATTATTCTCATTTTAGAATTTTGAGCTTAAACAAATTGTATGGGTTTTAATACACCGGATGCAAATTTCTTATTGGAACCCTAATGATACGCACTGTATATTAGATAAACAAAAAAAAATCGGAATTTTAGAAGATTATTGTTTGATTAATAGTGTAAATCCATACTCTTTCTTAAGACGGAAAAAACAATCAAAAATTTATTTGACCCGGACGTGATTTGAACACGCAACCTTCTGATCTGGAGTCAGACGCGCTACCGTTGCGCCACCGAGTCACACGGCCTGGTTCGTTGTAGAAATAGTATACTATGCAAAGTAGTATTAAAAATGGAAGTTTTACGCAAGAAAAATATCTTAAAGTGTGAAACATTGTGAGAATAGTCTGTTCAAGGTGTAAGACGTAAAAGCCATAAAAATATTATCTTAATTCGCGAAATGTAAGAAATGTTGGAGGATGAAATAACCAGACAAAACTTGCTTCGTCGTGTAAATGTGGACTAATTTATTAAAACGGTCCCTTAATACTTACAATGGAACAAAAAACAAATACACATGAATGCCAACAAGTTCTACCAATATGAGTATCTAAATTTTAAATTTATTTCCCGGACTGTCTAATTCAAGGAGCGAAATGTAAAAGTCAATATGGAGCCATTTATTTACATGGCTTTCAGGGATATTTTCGGAAAAGGTTTGTTGTAAACTGCCTAATTTCTCAAGTCTAAACTTGTCTCGTCTTGAGTGAGTGAGTGAATGTTTGGTTCTATGGCGCAAGAGCCAAATTTGGCTATACTGCGCAACACGTTACATGTCTCGTCTTATCCATCGTCCCACAAATGATTGTTTCTATTGAAGCTCTGCCCACACGTTGAAAGCAAAAGCAGAAAAGATTTCTTATGCTCTTACACAGTGACGGACTAAGCAAACGTAGGTCGATGGGGGAATTCTTAAAAAAAATATTAGAAATATGCATTACACTGCTGTTGGATTTTTGTCGCGTAATACTTGTTGCATTCTTGCATGGATACTGTCATCTTCAGGGACATACGAAAAGCACATCATTTAATTCTTGATATTTTCTACAACAGTCCTGTGCAAGATTTAAGAATATAACAAATCAAACCACTTCACATTCGGACGTGGTGGAATCAGACCATTTGCCCATTTAGATTCAAAGGCGGTAATATAGAGCCTAGGCGATGCGAAATATGTCACATTCTGAAAAAATTCGTTCATTACGTTAAGGCAACTGAATAATTACTAAAGTAAAGGGAAAAAATCCGGTTCACCGCGCATCAACTCAAACCTGATTAAAAAAGCAATCACCACTACACTGACCCGGACGTGATTCGAACACGCAACCTTCTGATCTGGAGTCAGACGCGCTACCGTTGCGCCACCGAGTCACGATAACAGGTTAATTTCTGAATATTTAATTGACATGATCAGGAATGACATTTAAAATATGTACAGTACTTTGGTATTAAGTAAAATTCGAATATTAAAACTTACGTATATATAACGTCGTGCACTTCATATGTAGAGTGCAAAGTAAGTATACTTGCAAAGGTTTCTGACAGTACTGAAAACTGAGTCATATAGATCTGGATGAGGATGCCCTACATTTTTGTCACTAGTACAAAGCCTTTCTTCTCCTTTTTTGATTTCAATTTTTACATGGAATTCGAGTCCCAGAAACTACAAAATTGCCAAGCGAGGATTGACAAGTTGTTTTCCTAAGCAATGTTTTGCACAAATTCCTTTTCTAAAGCAGAGCAAAAGTAACGTGCACACATTGACCCGGACGTGATTCGAACACGCAACCTTCTGATCTGGAGTCAGACGCGCTACCGTTGCGCCACCGAGTCATGTCTGCTTCCGACATTCTGCGATTCCCTGCGATATTCTTAAGAGACATAATTGAAAGGTAATTAAACAATTACCAGTCCTTTTTACCGCCATTGTACCTTTTAAAAGTGCAGGCCAAGTAGAAAATTAGTAAATGAATCGCACCTGTTTTTCACACACTTCCTGTTCTGAAATGTAAGGATTGATATTTTTAGAGGCACTCAATCAACATATT